GCCCGTGGGCCGTAGTTTGAGGACCCCTGCTCTAGATGATGAGACTGGGGAGAATCAGATTGCACACATTGCAGTTGTCTACAGAGCCTCTTTGGAGTATATGCTTGAGGTAGAATCTGAGTAACAGTGGCAAAGGATGGAACAAATGTATTGAAAAAGATCTAAAAGATAGGAAACATGAAAACACTCTAAAATGTGAGGTTTTGACCTCTTGATGTTCTTCAGTAGTGTGCTGGTGCAGCAATGCATTCTGCATCCAGAAGGGAAGCCTGTCTTGTATATAGTCACAGAGCTGTGGTGGAGTACAGAGATTCCATTCCCAGCTGTCTTTATGTGAATGAAGTCACTACTAGAACCACTGTTCTTAGCTTCTTCATCTTGTTCCCTCTGCTTTCTGTTTGGATCTATACAGGTGTCACATAGCATGTGAAATTGAGTGAAACTTGGAGTAAATATCGGAATGGAAAGTGGAATATTAGCACTTAAAATTGTGTATTGTCATAAAACTATAACATAGCAATAGTCGTCTTAGAAGATGCTGGGGATTTTGCTAAACTCAAATTTGAACTAGAGAAAGAAGCAAAATATTAATTTCATTTTAATAAATATTAAATATTATATTTAAATATTATATTGAAATTAAGAATTGTAAATAATCTTGTTTCATGTCCTAGTTCTATGAAGGTTATGGACAGACTGAATGCACAGCTGGATGCTCACTGTCACTGCCTGGTGACTGGACAGCAGGTATGGTGTTTAATGACCTGCCTGTCTGATAAAGTTCAGGATACTATAGAGTCCCTGATCACATTAGTCTTCAGTACACCTATCATGAAGCATAAGATTCTATCTTCCTTCAAGTGAAGTAAGAAAAAGTTTTGAAGAGATCCTTTGAAGTTTCTACCCCTAAATAGCTAGGAATGTTCTGTAATCCAAACTTTCAATAGGCTTTGTCCTTGTAAATTGAAGTGGATTGAGGAAAGGGACGGTCATAGTATCAACCCGTGTAAATTTTACAGAATAGCAATCTGCTGTGGATAAACAGAGTGCTGGAAATTTAAATGGCACTTTTTGTGTTGGAACAAACAGTCTGTGTTTGTCAGCTGTTACATCTCTAGCTCCCTAACTGAAATAATAGTGATAACTGAAACTATAGTAGGACTTCTGCTACTTAAATATGTCCACAGAGTGAGGATCCTGATTATAAGAAAAAGCAAGCCTGAGTGCATGGTTCAGCTAGTAACATTCTAGGGATATCTAAAAATTTAATGTTTCAGTCTCAGTAAACTTAAGCTATTACTGCACTGGTGTTGGTGTAGTACATTACCAGAAATCAGTTTTCAATCTTTTTTTTTACTTTAGCATGTTAACCAACTTATTGTTTTAAGAACCTGACTAAAAAGCAGTTCAGGCTATTGAAGTGTTACTCTGTTTAATAGGTCATGTTGGAGCACCAATGCCATGCAGCATCATCAAGCTTGTTGATGTACAAGAAATGAATTACTTGGCTGCCAAAGGAGAGGGTGAGGTAAGTAATTTCAGAAGGTCAATAGGAGCATCTTATGAAATCTTGGAAAATGTTTTTTGTTCCTGAAATAACAAGTAACTGTCTTGAATTTAGTAAAAGTGCTAAACTTGGCCTGCTGCCTAAAATCAAAGGCGTGTGCCTTCCCTGCATACAATGTCAGAATGGATAAATAAAATGTGGAATGGATAAACACAAAGTAGCTTAAGCAAGTAAATAATTTGTGACTGCAAATAATAATTATATAATCTTTATTTGCTTTGGTTGCAACTTGTATTAGACTAGAGACATATCATTTGGCTTCAATTCCCAGAAATACTTAAGGATTTAATTGGGCTTGGTGGTGGGAAGCTGTTTGCAAGTGGAGAGCAATGTTAAGATTCTTTCCTGTCTTGCATATGATCCCATGTTTAGTCTTCATCATCAATTTTTGCTTCACTTTAAATAGGTTTTTAAAGCATGGTCTGCTAGAGAAACTGAGTATAAATTGTCATAATGAGAAACAGTTAAGTAGTTTTAAAATGAACTTCTAAAAAAGTTCTGCTTGCATTTACTATGAAAGCTTGCTGCATCAGGAGTTACTTTGGACTTGAATAGATATGGTGTAGTCCCTTAATGTATCCAATACCATCATAGCCTTTCAGTCCTAACTTCCTCGGTGTGAACTGTTCTGAATTTAACAAGCAAGTGTTGTAAATTGTTTCACAGAACTGAAGCCCATAGCCATAGAACTGGCTCTCATCCTTTGCTTAAAATTGATCTTCCTCCTCATAGTTTTGTCTGCTCTTCAGCTGTATTAAGCACTCCTAGTCCTCCTTTCTGAGAATAAGCTTTGACTATTCTCTGTTCTGTCAGCCTTGCTATTTTGCTTTTGCCAGTTATCCATGTTCAAGAAGGATAAATCTAAATAGAATTATATATGCTCATATGCAGGTGAGCATGAGATAGTCTTAGTGCCAGTTAGCAGGATACAGATAAATGGTTTGCTGTCTCAACCGGGAAAAGCTGCCACCTGCTGCCATCCTGTGATTGCAGGAGCCATGAAAAAGGAAACATTTGAGCAGTCAGCCGTTGACTTGAGTGGAACAAACAGTTCTCTGCTACTGGTATTCTTCCAGATAAGCTCTGTTTTATAGGAGAAATGACTTGGTTCTTAAACATGACCTTGGTTTGGTCACAAGTTTGGTACTGTCTCTACAAGGTTATCAGAACCCTTGCTAATACTCTGATCTCTCTCCTGTTGACAACATCTCCTGTTCACTGTGTTCTAATTCACCTGCATGCCTATGTTTTATGCTGAGGCAAACACTGAAAATACTTGGGATGAGTTTTTCAAGAATTGGTCTGTGAACTACATCAGAAATTTCTTCTAGTCTCAGAATTGATATTAGATTCTTCAGCCTGTTCCTTGCCCATTTTATAATTGTACTAAACTCCTAAACTAATAGTTGGCCTAGTATTTTATCAGCTGCTATTGATAGTTATTATGTAATTTGGCCTTAACTTAAAACTGGATTTTCTGTCCTGTTCTAGACTTGTTCTAGAGTCCTGATACTATTGTTCAGACCCTTCTTATAGTCTCGTGTTGCCCACACATGCCAAGCCACACCCAAGCTGGTGTGATGGTTTCAATCCTTTGTTGCTTCTGAGGACTCTTGTGTAGAGCTTTCAGGGTTTTTGGACTCCTGATTCCCCAACAATTGTGTGAAGCGGGCATCTTTAAGTTTTGCTTCTATCTCATTTATCTTGCCTGTCTCTCTGTCCTCATTTCTAAGGAGGTATTTTATTGTCTTGCTGATTCTTAAATAACAAGAGTCCCATCCTGTGCCCCTCCTCACACCACTAAAGAAAACTTAAACAACCTTGGATGTTATATTGAGAAGAAAATACTTAAATCTGGGATAATCTCTGGGTATTTAAGGCTCTATTCCATTTTTATGAGTAGTTGCTTTACTTTTGTTCTTTTAGTGACAAATACTCTACTATTGCTTTAACTTAATTTGTAAGCTCTGGCCTGATTCTCTGGCAACACCTTCACCTATACACCTTTAATTCTCATACCTTGTAAGTGTGGGTTGTTTTTGTTTTTGTTTTTGTTTGTTTTTTTTTTTATCCTAACAATGCCCATGCATCCAGTTATATCCAGAGAAGTTCTTCTTAATTTTCTACTTGGTACACAAATCCAGACAACCTTCAATTTAAAGAAATTGCAGTTTTCTTTATAGAGAAGTCTTGAGTGCTCCAAGCCCTAAGGTATTAACTGGTTTAGTTTTGGACAACAAACGCATGATTGCTTGATGTACAGCTTTTTATTACTAGTTTTAGCACAATGCCCCTGCTGCTCACCAAAGCTGAAACAAACACATGGCCAGGCTGAGGGGTAATTTCTGGATGCAGGAGAATTTCTTCAAATAAATAAAATTAAATTTCCTCTGATAAATTCAGATTATTCAAGTAGGAGGTAGCAACATTGCTGCTAGACTGGAAAAGAACAGATGCTTCCAATTGCTTCCTGTTATACTTTAAACTAATAGAAAACGTTAGGTCTCCAAAAACCAGGAGTAGAGATTTCTGTGTTAATGCATAAACTTTGTCTTGTCTTTTTAGTGGGGCTATTGAAAATGATTGGAGAAAGCATTCATTGCATATAGTGTTTGTTAACTTCTGTTTGTAGTAGCATACACTAACAGATGGCTGATTTCAGGTGTGTGTGAAAGGGCCAAATGTATTTTGTGGCTATTTGAAAGATCCAGAAAAAACAGCAGAAGCTCTGGACAAAGATGGCTGGCTTCACACAGGAGATATTGGGAAGTGGCTACCAGTAAGTTAACTTGCATAGCTGAAATGTACTTCTGTAGTTATTAGCAGTAATTTAACAAATAAAACATGAAATATTTGAAATTAAACACAATGAATTAGAGGAAGACAAGTAATTTTAGGAGGAGGATAATTACTGTTGTAGATAAATCTGTGTACCTGAGGCTAAAAAAAGGGTTAGCAGTACCAATCCCAAGGCTTTCCCTAGTTTAGGTTAGATGGGTGCAGAGCCTGTTTTCTTCAAACATTAGTTTGACAGTGTTCTGGCTCTAGCACTATTTTACTGTACTACCTAATTTAACTTAAATGAATAAACTGTCTTGGATCATTCACAGCACTTAATGTTAAACCAGAATTCAAGCAATAGCATTTCTGGTTTGTTGTTGAAAGCTTAACAAAGGTTGCACAGTAATATCTGTTGATATTTCTGGAGTTGAAATACATAGAAAAAAAACTCTTGCTTGTATGATGTAATTCTGGTATGTTGCGTGATCTAGTGTGGCATGCCTAAGCTGGGTAGACTGGCTTTTCAGTTGAAGTGCCTCTTCTGAGTGGACGCTATTTCTGTCAACAGAACGGTACATTGAAGATCATTGACCGGAAAAAACACATATTTAAACTAGCGCAGGGAGAGTACATAGCACCAGAGAAAATAGAAAATGTGTATCTGAGATGTGAAGCACTTGCTCAGGTGTTCGTCCATGGAGAGAGCTTGCAGGTAAGCATTCTTCAGGTAACTTTAAAAATGAATACAAGAGAAGACTGCAGAAAAGACTTTCTTCCTTCCCTCCCCTCACACCAGACTTTAGCACTGAAATCTTAAAATCTCTTAACACCACACATTTTTGCTCTGAATACACTTTCAACTCTGGCAGTTATATAACATGTTTCTGTATCTAGTTTCAGACCAGGTAGTAAAGCTGGATTAATTTAACTGAGTATTAATGTCTGTACATAAGTTGCTAACTGGGGGGGGGGGGGGGAGGGGAAATTAAAAACCCCAAACAAAAACCAAAACCACAAACCTGAAACAAAGATGTCCAGGTTTTTGCAAGTGTAAATTGCAATGTGGGTCTTGACAAGTGTAATTCTCTTTAAGTGCAAGCTTCTGAACTGTACTCCTGTGGTCAAGTAGCAGAAAGCTCCTGACTTTACAGCAGGATCAGAACTGCTGTCCAAAACCTAACACTGACTAGTAAGAACTGTGTAGGAACTAAAATATGGACTTTAAAAGAAAGGAGGGAAAAAAGATTGACCAAAAATTCCTTTTTAGGCCTTCTTAGTAGCTATTGTGGTACCTGATCCTGAGACTTTGCGCAACTGGGCCAAGAAGAAGGGATTTGAAGGCTCATATGAAGAGCTATGCAAAAATAAGGTGAGCCATATCTAACTTAAATCGTTAGCTGTTCTGCATCAACTGTTCCAAGCTATACAATGTATTCCTGTATCCCCAGGACCTCAAAAACCACATTCTGGAAGACATGGTGAAGATTGGGAAAGAATCTGGTTTGAAGTCATTTGAACAGGTAAGATGCTAATGAGAACTGAACGCCTAATTCTTTAAACTTCTTAATAGCAACATAATAGGACTCTGCTGAAACTGGCTTCAGTTTTCATCTGGGAGATCTTTAAAGTGATGGGCTTTGTTACGGTGTCTGGGCAATCTTTTTAATAGCCTTGTCTATTCCAAGCAATGCAGCTCAGCTAGTAACTCTTTACTTTCCAGGTCAAAGACATCGTCGTGCACACTGAAATGTTTTCTATTGAAAACGGCCTGCTGACACCAACACTGAAGGCAAAGAGACCAGAACTGCGAAAATATTTCCAGTCACAGATAGATGAACTCTATGCTAATGCCAAAATGTAACTGAGAATGGAATGAGGAAAGTGGCACGCATCTGTCTACTGTTGGCCTTCATATCTGTAATTTGACTACAGCAAACATAGGGAAGGAAACTGTGCAATCATTAACTTGTACAAAAATGGGTACTTGCCATAGGAACACTGAAGAGATGGAACACTGCCTTACTGTCAAGTTGTGTTGCATACTGTTTTTATGGTGACCTACAATTTCCAAAAAGAGCCTTAACTATAAATGGTAACTATATGTAAGTTATTTAAGACTTCCTTGGCCAAAAATGGGACTTTCTTTCACCAAGGAGGTAAGGTTTTCTTATTGCCAGCATGTTTGCTGTCTGCAGTGTACTTTGCAGTTGTCAATTCCACAAAGGATTTGGCAGGTTTGAAAATGCCTCCAAGTATCTTGCAATCCTCAGAAGGATTACTTAATCTTTTTAAAACAAAACAAAACCACACAACCAAAAAAACCCCAAAACCCAGCCCTATGGTTGTATAGCTGGTATCACATCTTGTGTTAGTCCTGATATTAACTGGAGCAAGGTATCTGTGTGTTTTCTCCCTTCTATATCTGCAGCCAGTTCTGAGATATACTTTTATAAGGTAGAAATCAGAACTCCAAAAGGAGACCGATGAATACAAGTTCCTCAGAGTAAGTCTGCATATCATGGTTCTGCACTGAAAGTGTGGATGCAGTTAATTCGGGAAGTGTAGCCTTTGCTACATTAACACAATTCTGGAGTGGTGCCAGCCCTGTAAATGAACAGATCCTAACTCTGGCAAGAACACTAGAGACCTAAAACCAAAACCATTCAGGAGGCTGGGCTGTGCTAACAGTCAGGTAAACATTGCACCTGTACTAGCCACTTGTTTCCCTGTAATGAAC